AAACCATAAAGATATGTTTATAATGTATGAAGTTTAGGTGAACGTTGACCCTTGCCATTCATAGGTCAGTATTGGTAGCCCTTCCTGTGACTCAGTGCCCCTGAATTAGCCCTCAACTGTAGAAAGGTTGGTAACCGCTGCTCTAAGCAACATACAAATAAGTGGTTTGATGCAATCTGCTAGATTTCCTTTGATGGAAACCTTTTTACCCAATTTGACTGCATTGTTTGTTAACCAGGATACATTCCTTTTGCACGGTTTTTACTTGGAATCAGTGTAAGATAAATTGATTTCAAGTAAAAGAATAATCCAATAGAATAAATGAACCTTTCTTTCATTTTAGTGAAGTATCTTGACACGACAAGTGTGAGGAATTGGGTCTATAAACAGGTCTGTGTAGGTTTATGTGGAGGACATTCTTGTCCTTCTTTCAGTGAAAAAAAGATGGTGCATCAGCTAGAATTTGTAGTCAAATAATTGTACTATTTATTTCTTCAAAATAAATGTGCTCAAGTAAAATTAAAAAGCACAGCCCCATGGAGGTGTCATCTGGTTAGGATGCCTCATGGCTGGATGTCCTATTGAAAGGACATCCAGAGGGAGACCCAGGACACACTGGAGGGACTATGTTTCTCGGCTGTCCTGGGTTCACCTTAAGGTATCCCCAGGTCTGGCTGGGAAGAGGGACGTCTGGGTCTCCCTACTGAAGCTGCTACCCCTGCGACCCGACCCCCCCGGTAAGTGGAAGAGGATGGATGAATGGAGGATGGAGTCCCATTAAACCATTGCAAGAAGTAGAAATCTATTATAACCTTACAAGAGTTCATGTAACTAATTGCATTTTTCTAGCTCAGGGAGAATGGTGTAGACTTTATTACAAAGAAAAGTAGGAGAGAAGTGAGGAAAATCTATGNACAAAAAACAAGAATTTACCAGAACATCATTAAATTGTTTTTATAATAAAAACATTTTCTGGTTGTGCTCATTTTTTGCACATGAAAGGGTATTTTGTTTTGTTGGGAAAGCGTTGCCTTAACCCTTTCCCAACAAAAAAAATCTTTCCATTAACATCTTGTTGCATATAAAATAAATTTTAAACTCCAGTATGCAGACAGATTGGATCTACTTACTGAAGTTGTGTGCAATCTTCTGGTTGAGCAATATGTGCTGAGAACTACTGGAGTCAGACGTATCAAATGTTCCCAGATCCTTCACTGCGAACTGATCGTACAAACGCGATGTGTCGATTTCAGGCCCTCTGCTCTTTTCCTGAACCCAAAATGTTTTCGCAATCTGTTGAAACAAAAACATCATCAACAGAAAAGATCATTTATTGGTACTGAAACAAAACATAAGAAAAAAACAACAATGAATAATAAATCTGGCAGAGTAGCAAAACCAAAAAATATTAAATAAAAATGGCAATATTCCAACATTATTTTATTGAAGCTGGTGTTAAAAGTATTCATATAAATATACATATATCTAGGGTAAGAGTAGAATTTTTTTTTTTTTTTGTGAAAAAATACCAAATCTAATGGACAAGAATATAAAGAGCAAATATAGGTATTTTAAAGAATAAAAAATAAACAATAATTCAGGCAAAAAGATGCACAACAAATACATTATAGTTAGACTAAACTTTTGAACAAATACTTAAATAAGACTATAAACAGATGTTAGAACAATGGAAAGTAACAAGTGAAGATTGCTGCATGTCTGGCAGGTATAAGGCAATGCTGGAAAGTTAACAACACAATATAATCAACTGTCCTCTTTGCCAGAGGTTTGCAAAGTAGGGGTTGCAATACCTACTGTACTTAGAGGGGGGTTTAGATGGTTTAGAGTCTTCTGAAAATAGAAGAACTCAACAGTGAGCTACGTTTGATATTTCACTGTTGTCAACAATGGATGGTGAGGGTGCTCCAGGACCCAGATGCAGAGACGAG